TTCCTCCTCCTCCTCCTCCTCCTCTTCCTCCTCTTCCTCCTCCTCCTCCTCCTCTTCCTCCTCCTCTTCCTCCTCTTCCTCCTCCTTCTCCTTCCTTATCCCTCCAATACACCCTTGCCTTCACCTCCCTCCCCCCCTCCCCCCTCCTTCCTTCCTCCCTCTCCCTCATCTTACTCCCTCCCTCCTCCCTCCCCCCCACCCTCTTCCACCTCCCTCCCCCCTCCCCCTCCATCCTCCCTCACCCCTACCCTTTCTCCCCTCCTTCTTCCTTTTACCTCCCTCCCTCTCATTTTCTCCCTCCCCCTCCCTCTTCCCTCACTCATCATCCTCCACCCCTCCATCCTCCTACCCCCTTTTACCCTCCCTTCTTCCTTCCTCACCCTCCTCCTACTCCCCCCTTCCTTTCTCCCTCAACCCCTCCTTCTTCCCTCACCTCCCTCACCTCTCCTCCTACCCCCTCACCCCCCAAGTCCTCACCCCTCCTCCCTTACCCCCATCCCTCCCTCACCCCCCCTCACTCCTCTCCTCCCTCACCCCTCCTCCCTTCTCTCCTCCCTTACCCCCCATCTTTCACCCCTCCCCCCTTCCCATCTTCCTCACCCTCCTCCCTTCCCCCCATCCCTCCCCCCTCACCCTTCCCCCCATCCCTCACCCTCCCTACTCCTTCACCCCCACCTCCCCCCCATCCCTCCCCCCCTTCCCTTCCCTCCCCCCATCCCTCCCCCCCCTTCCCTTCCCCCCCCCCCCTCCCTCCCCCCACGGAAAAATGTTACAGCCTGTCTGCGAGCGGTGTCCTGCCTTGCCTCGGCTCAGCGCAAGGCTCTCTTATCCTTAATGCAAGTTATGGCCGCTGCTTCTGTTTCCTGGTGGCTTTTTAGTTGTTCCGTTTTTTTGTTTTTGTTTTGTTTGTTTTTGTTTTTTGTATTTGTGCTGTTTATGTGCGTTTCCTTTTCTTTCGTGTGTTTTTTTTTTTTTTTTTTTTTTTTTTTTTTTTTCTTTTTCTTTTTTTTTTGCTTTTTGTTTTTCGCGTTTCTTTAAATTCGTTATTTCTTTCTCGTTTTTCTTTCGATTAAAAAAATATATATTTATATTATTATTCTTGCTTTGTCTCATTCTCCATTTCCTCTCTTTGTAATTCTTTCTTTCTCAATTTTTTTTCTTTCTACCTTTTAAAACTTTTAAAACTATCATTCTTTTGCTTCCCTTTTTTCTTCTGTTCGTTAACTTCTTTCTGTTATTTTCTCTTTTATTCCATTCTTTCTCTCTTTCTTTCATTTTATTCTCTCATTTTTCAACCTTTCATTCTTTCTTTTTTCTCTCTCTCTCTTTTTTTTTATTTATACATTTCTTTTCCCTCATTTTCTCTTTTCATCCGCTTTTTCTCTCTCTTATTTTCTTTTTTTCCTTTCTTTCTCTCTTTCTTTTTCTCTTTCGTTCACTCATTCCTTCTTTCTTTCACTCTTTCATTCTTTTTTTTTCTCCTTCGTTCACTCATTTCTTATTTCTTTCTTTCTTTCATTCTTTCTTTCTCTCTTTCGTTCACTCATTCCTTCTTTCTTTCTCTCTTTCATTCTTTCTTTCTCTCTTTCATTCTTTCTTTCTCGCTTTCGTTCACTTATTCCTTCTTTCTTTCTCTCTTTCCTTCTTTCTTTCTCTCTTTCATTCTTTCTTTCTCGCTTTCGTTCACTTATTCCTTCTTTCTTTCTCTCTTTCATTCTTTCTTTCTCGCTTTCGTTTTTCCATTCTTTCTTTCTCTCTTTCCTTCCTT